GCCTGCTGTAGGTGACCCTGCTTCGGCAGGGGGTTGGACTGGGTGATCCCCAGAGGTTCCTTCCAACCCCTGCCATGCTGGGATTCCGTGATTCTGTGTGCTACAATGTGGTCCCACTCTTAGGTGCCTTGATACGTTGCACAGGGGCTTTAGGCACACGGTGCAGTGTAGATGTTCCCTGTGGTGTGGCACCCTGACGTGACCTTGTCTTTGGATGCCTACGGGCAGGCGTTAGGTGTCTGGCACTAAATGGCAGTCTTCACACAGGTGTCCCGTTTCTCGCCTGACCTCTTGGGAAACTGAACATCTGCATTCCTTTGAAGACTCGGGTTTACAGTCCTCAGACTTGCTTTGATCTTTGCTTTGTGCAGGCCGGCTAAAGCCAACAAGGAGGGTCATGGTGAGGGAGCAGGAACAGGGATGACTCCGTGTGCCTGCTCGCCCAAGCTCATACATACCAAAGCAAGTCACCGGTGTTGGCAGCAGCGAGGCAGCAGTGACGCTTGTGCTGTGCTGGGCTGTGACGAGTAGCGCTGGCAGTGATGGTGAGGAGGGTCTCAGTGCACAGACATGGAGACTTTGTTAGTTGCTTGCATGAAAGTCAAAATAAGGTCAAAGAAAAAGGGTTAGATGAAGATTGATAAGCATGTACCTACCTGCTTTGGAGACAGTAGGGTGGAGACCGTTCCCATCTTTAAGGTTTTCTGTCAATACTGGCAAAAATTCAACTATGTGTATGTGTGGCCTGTTGGAGAAATGATGGTTAAAAAGTAACTTTCTGTGCTGTTCTTGTGGTTTATTATCAAGGAGAGAAGAGATTTTCCCAGGTGTTGCCAGTTCAACTTCTCCACCCTGTATGAAGACACCTGTAGTGAGCAGGCAAATTCTTTACCTGCTCAGAGCTCCATGATGCAGATGGTCCCGGCATGCTGGGTTGCAGTCTAGGGTCTTCTTGCTGTGCCTTGAACCATCATCCCAGCAGAGCAAATAATTCAGAACAGATCTGGCATTCAGCAAGTCTTGCTTTGTTCCTCTTGGTTAAACAGGATCAGCTGTAGGCCTGGCCAGCACCGGTGCAGTATTTTGGTAAAGGTGAGGATGAGAATTTTGAAGGTATGGTGGTACCTGGGTCGTAGTTTAACCCGGCAGCTGACAACTACGCACCAGACAGCCACTCGCTCACCCCTGCCTTCCCCCCCAGTGGAGTGGGGAGGAGAATGGACAAAAGGGAAAACTCATGGGCTGAGATAAAGACAGCTTAATAAGGCAACAAAGGAAATACTACTAATCATACTAATAAATAGGGAAGATAATAGCAATGATGATAATGACTATGCAAACTATGTACAATACAATTTTTATCACCACCCGATGACAGATTCGCAGCCTGGAAAAAAAAGTTGGAACGCCCAGCAAAGAGTGGATTCAGACTCTCAGAAAACCGAAAACCTGACAGCTTTTCCCCCGGGCTAACCCCCTCCATACGCTGAGCGTGCCGCCCATGGCATGGAATATTTCCACTGGCCGGCTTAGCTGTCTGTCTGGCCGTGCTCCCTCCCAGCTCCTGCGCGCCCGCTCGTTAGCTGAGTACGAGAAACTGGAAAAAGACCTTGATCTATAGCAACAACTGAAAACATCAGTGTTGTCAACATTCTCCTGACAGTAAATCCAAAACACGGCAGCTACGGAGAGGAAAACTGACTCTGTCCCTGCCGAAAGCAGGGCAGCCTGTCAAGGCAGTAGCACTGGTGCAGCTACAGCAGCAAAGTTTTCTTACAGGTGCTGTTTGCTGGGAGTGTTGTTCCGTGGGTTAGTTCTCGTGCTCACCTCTGCTTGTCTAGGTTGTATTACTGACGTGATCTTCTGAACCCGTACATCTGGTGCCCACCATCAGGTTTTCTGACCAGCCATGGAACTGAAAGCCCGTCTTTTCCTTTCCTGGTTCGCACTGAACTCTTGTTCTGACCATATTTTTGACATTCCCGTGGTAGCTGTGAGGGTTTGGAACTAATTTTAAATTAAATTTGAGCATCTCATAATTACTTGGGTCCAGGAACAGGGCCTTTAGGAAAGTCCTAAACTATAGCAAGCTCAGCAAGGGGATGAGGCAGACTGTGGTGTCTCTGTCCCCCAGTCTTATGCTGGTCACTCCTTGCAAAGCCTACCCAGAGCAGTTTTCCTTGGCACCCCTGTTGCTGGGAGGCTTGGGCAGGTGGGTAACCCTCTCTAGAGTGAGGAGGAAAGTCTTTAAAGAGTGCGAAGGAGGCCTTTATGCACTGCTCGTACGCACAGGGAGGAGGAGGGTGTAGGCAGGTGGGCAGAGGACGGGAGTGCCAGTCCTAGTGCGGCGTTCTGAGATCAGCCGTTTGCCTATTTGAAGTCTCAGTGCCACAGTGTGCCACCATTGCCAGGTGTCATTTTGGTGGCGTCAGGGGGAATGTAGGCGTTGCTCCAGGGGATTGTCAGGGCTGCAGGCACCATGTTCTTCTGCTCAGACCTCTCCCAATGGAGCAGAGTCTGCTTTTGAAGAATTTAATCTCATTCCCCAGCCCCAGGGTGCCCCAGGAGACATGCAGAGAGCAGAGCTGGATGAACTAGGCCAGTAAAAGACCATGGGATGATTTTTATTGCTTTGATGTTTTATTTTTGAGTTCTCGCTCCCTTGCGGTAGTTAGGTGGTGTTGCCGTTGCCCCTTTTGGCAGCACCAGCCATTCCTCCGCTGACGGGGTGTGCTCCTCAGTGTGGCGCTGGGCCGCTGGAGAGGAGCAGCTGCCCCCAAAGATATCCAAAGACCTGTGACAATTCAACGCGGAGCTTGGCTGTTAAATGCTTGAGCTCATGCGCTGGCCCAGCCGTAACGAGTCACAGCAGCAGGGCCTGGCAGGTGACCCAGTCTGTGGTGCAGGACATGCATTCTCCCTGGGCTCCCAGGCACCCAGAGCACAGCAGGGAAATTAGACGGCGAAGATCCACTGAGCTTCAGAGCGTGTGCAGCCGTCCCAGAAGTGCAGAGCAAGAGCTGGCAGAGAAGTGTGAGGCAGCAGCTCACAGCAAGGGGCTGAGAACATCCCCCACTGTAACTGGGGCTGCAGAGCATCTGGGTGTGCATAACAGCTGAGACAGCAGGGAAAGCCCTTCCTCAGTGTGCAGGAGAGGAGAAAATGTGTGCAGGAGGGTCTTTAGTGAAGATGTTGATCCAGACATCACACATTGGGTCTCGTCCCCAAACCTGATCTCTAATTCTGCAGAGACAGGGAGTGTCTAGAAGCGCTCCCACCTCCTTCCTTTCCTACATGATCAGACTTTTCCCTGGTTCCTCTATTACTGATCCAGTCTAGGTGTGGAGGCACAAGAAGCACCAAGCCTTGGACAGTGCAAAGTACATCTTGAGCAGGAAGGGAATGTCCCTGTCTCTGGACATGAAATGTCCTGCAAATGAAATGATGCCAACATGAAACCCTCCACAATGTTGTTCTCCTTGCACTCCTGTTGTGACAGGCAGAATGAGAGCTGTCTCTTCAGGCTGCGACCAGGTTGTCATCCTCACCCATGGCAGAGAGCCCCACTCAGCTGTGGAGCACAGAGCAAGGCTTTGGCGACGCAGTCTGCTCATCGCTGGGGATCTGAGCTGGGCGCGTGGGTCCACTTGGTCTCCTGCCTTGCCTTTCCGTGAGTGTCGCAGTAGGTGTCTGGGAGACATGTCTGAGAAAGCAGAGCCCAAATTGACTCAGCGGAAAATCCAGCGCGGTGGAGTTGTTTGCTCTCCATCTGCGCACACGGTCTGACTCTTGCTAGCTGCAGTGAGGCACCTCTTGTTGGAGGGGATAAGCTGGCTTGGGTTCCCTTGTCAGCCGCACACTTCTCTGCGATTCATTTGTGACGTTGAACAAGTTGTTTGCATGCTTTTTCTTGTGTTTAAAGGGAGTGATAACGGTGATCTGATCTCACATGTTCCTCAGTGTGTTTGCTCACGTGCACTCTGAGGCCAGGACCCTGCGAGGAGCGTTGCCAACAGAGGCTGCTGGCCTTAGTTGGTGTGTCTAGGTTAGACCCATTACAGATAATAACTTGCATGCGTTAATGAGGTGCAAAGGCAGCGAAACGTGAGCATCGCAGGCCTGTTGTTCTGCAGAGGAAAGTCTCAGAGTGCTGGAGTCACCCTGGCTTCCTTGTAGGTGACTTTCCATCAGCGTGTTATTGATGTAGTGCTGAAATTGTGCCTCATGTTTGTGGTGGTGTTGACACTGAGGGGAATGGATGGTGTACCGTGGAGTTTCTATGCTTCTTTCCAGTACTCTCACACGCAGGCACACAAGCATTGGCGCTCAGTCAGGTTTATCCGCTCCTTGCTAATCAGCCCGTATTGTTTTCTTTTGGTTTTTCAAGACCTGCTCTGAATCAGTGAAGGCCAAAGCTGCCAAGTCTGACTGGCTCCAGCATCTTTTCCTGCCCAACATCATGCTCTTCACAGACAAGAGGTACTTCAACAGCAGTGAGTGGGAGCGCCTGGAGCATTTTGCACCTCCCTATGGCTTCATGGAGCTGAATTATTCATGTGAGTCACTCAGGGCATCTCAGGATGGGACCATCAAACTCCCGGCAGGAACCTTATGCCAAGTAGCTGGAGATTTGCAGCATCTTCATGTCAAAGGCATTAAGCTAGGTGGATCTCATGGTGGGAACTGTGGTGGTTTCACTGTATCCGTCCCAAAGGCTCTTGACGGTAACTCTCCACCATGTTTGTTTCACAGTGGTGCAGGAGGTCATGTCCCTGCTGCCCCCAAATCCTCACCAGCAGTTGCTCCTGGCCAACAGCAACAGCAGCGTGCCAACATGCATCAGCTGTGCTGTCGTGGGGAATGGAGGAATATTGAATAACTCTGGGATGGGCCAGGAGATTGACTCCCATGACTACGTCTTCCGGTAAGGCAGGCTTCCTTCTTAGAAGATACACAGCTAGCTTATTCTGGCTAGCAGACAATTCTAACTTCACCTCTTCTAGACATCTCTTCTGACTGCAAAGTACCAAAATGACTGATGGCAGGAGGAGATGAAAAACCGGCAAGGAAACAGAAAGTTCCTGAACACCCAGGAAGAGCCTGGGTTCACAGATGAGATGTAAAGAATCATCTCTAAAGCAGGGGGAAGTGGCTCTTCTGCAGATCAAGAGGCGTAGCTCAAATGGGCCTCACCGTCCCTTCCTCCAGATTAACGTGGTCTTTTCCTCATACAAACATGGATGTGAGGGTTTTCAATGGTTGCCTGCTAACTCTGCTCCTCTGATTTCCATGGCCAGGGTGAGTGGAGCTGTAATCAAAGGTTATGAAAAAGATGTGGGAACAAAAACCTCCTTCTACGGATTCACAGCCTACTCCCTGGTGACCTCTCTCCAGATCTTGGGGCACAGAGGGTTCAGAAACATCCCACGGGGAAAAGTAAGTCAGGTCGATGCTGCATGCAGGCATGGCTCTGGCGGGACACTGTTAGTCTGTGGCCTTCAGTTCTGATCTTGCTGTGCGTGAGGAGCGAAGGGGCTGAGCGAACATTTTGGTGTTACCCTTAGCGAGGGCACCTGCGTTGGCTTGGCTCGGAGTACTCGAGGTGCCAAGCTGCGGCAGTCCCAACCCAGCCCTTTGGCCTGTAGAAGCAGCCACACATCAGATGTTATCATCTCCGTTCTGTTTCTGTGGGCTAGTTCAAAGCTGCAGACCGAAGGTGTGTGTCTGAGAAGCTCGGTGCGCCCAGATGCTTGCTTGCTGTTTGTTTCTGAAGGATGTGTCTCTCTCGTTCTGTTCGTTAATGCGCATGTGTTTTCTTAGCATGTCAGATACATCCACTTCCTGGAGGGAGCCAGAGACTACGAGTGGCTGAAGGCTCTTCTGCTGAACGAGAACGCCAGGAAAGGAGTCTTGGACTCCGGGTAAAACAAACTGGCCCCACCTCAATGCCCTTTGGTGTGGAGCTCTCTGCTGTGCCCTCTTCCTCTCCGCAGTGCTCAGCCCTGCTGAGGTGCTCACCAGGGTGAAGCCAGGCTAAAGCCTCCCTCCCCTCGCAGATTTATTCCTTCCCAGCTCTGAGCACTGCTGTAACCGACACCTCTCCTTCTCAGAGGCAGCTGACTCCAATGATGCGCAGCCAGAGCTTGGCAAAAGCTTTGTGGTCCTTTGGGATGGACGCGTGCTGTTGTCTGGTGTGGTGGCTGTGCGTGCTGGCCTGCTCAGGGATGAGCACTCAGGGTTTCCCCCATGCTTGTCTGTACACACACGTGCTTTTGATGTTCCTGTCTCCTGTTGTTGCCTCTCCTCCGTCATCTCTGCCTCTGCAATGCGCACGGGTTGTGGAGGCTTTGTCGTAACCTGGGACGTGTTGCAGAGTAACCGAACAGCGGTGCCTGTTCTGTTATCACCAGCTGTATCGGGGCTGATGCTTTCCAGCTGTGATGAGATATAGGAGCTTGTCCTGAGTCTCCCCATTCCTGTCCTTAGGAGGAGGCCCCGGGAGAGGTTCGATGAAGATTTCACGACAGACAAATACCTGGTGGTTCACCCCGATTTCCTCAGATACACGAAAAACAGGTGAGCTGGGGCTTAGATGCTCTAACGGGCTTGTTTTTTCTGGCCAGCGCCGTCTCTGTCTCCAGGCCCTCTGGTCGCAGCTCGCTGCCTCGTAGCTGCGGTTTCGCCACACAGCAGACTGGGGTGGGCCTCACCAGCGTGCCGGCAGTTACAATGCTCTGTGGTGCTGCGGCGGGGTGCGAGTGGTGGGTAGACCCCCAGCATCTGTGATCTGGAGGAGAAACAGCCGTCAGCCAGGCTGGCTTTCTGCATCCAAAAGAGGTCCTGGGAAGTGGCGACTTTAGATGTGGGAGTGTTGCTGAACTGCCGGAATAGTTGTCTAGTTGGGGAGCAACCTTTCATGTTCGCCACTGCTTAGCACTTTGGAGGGTGGCTCTGTAAAGACCCTTCTCTCCCAAGACCCCTTCTTGACTGGGGAGGTTGTCTGTGCCCTCAAACATGATAATGGGCACTTCTTCAGCATCCCCTTTGCCTGGCCTGGCGACTCTTCTTTGCCTCTCTGATCCTTTCCACGAGTCTGCTGGACACTGTCACTGTAAGGTCTGCCAATCGTGGGCCACACGTGGCCAAGAGACGTAGGAAGAAGAGCTCCTGTTGTGCCGTGCTTTGGCTGCGTTTACCCTTCGGTCTCCTGGAGATCTGAGTTACGCCTGCTCTGAGAGAGGGCAAATGCAGTGCCAGGTGGCTCTCACCTCCCTGCTTCTTCTGCTGTCTCCCCCCGACTTGGGTCCTTTCCAAGGCCAAAAGGGCTATTTTTTCCTGGTGTGGACTCCTGCCTTCCTAACAACTGCTGGCACAAAACACTGCAGCTCTAGCAGGTTTTTTGACCCTCCTCTGCACCTTCCCTACGTCTCATTTCGCTCCTAAATATGGATGGGGAGGAGGGTGTGCCAGAGAGCTTCAGACCCACTGCTGCACTGCAAGGCAAAGGACAGAGTGAAGAGGGGGCTTCAAAGCACCAGATCCTTGAATCCACCCCCTCTTTGTCCTCACGACCCACCACTTCCACAAAGCTGGGGCAGAGCTGGGCTTAGGTTGCAGTTCGGGTGATGGAGCATTCTGGGCTGGCCTCGGGCTCTAGTGAGCACGCAGCGGTACCCACACAGGTGGGCGTACTCATGGCTTGTCTGAAATGCCCTGAATGGCCAAACTGCTGCAAGGAGGGAAGGAATGGGGCCAGAGGAGGCCCCAGCGATGATCTGAGGGCTGGAACCCCTCTGCTGGGAGGAAAGGCTGGGAGAGCTGGGGCTGGGCAGCCTGGGGAAGGGAAGGCTGCGGGGAGACCTGAGAGCAGCTGCCAG